TTTGCCTTACTAGCACATGTTTTCATTACAAAATCCCTCGAGTAAATACTTTGAATGAGTTACAATTGGTTTAGTGTTTGTCCTATGCAGTTATTTCTAACCTTGCACCAATGTCACTCATTCTCATTAACATCATTACAATGTGTAAAATATTTTAGTGACACTTAATTTTTACCAATGTTTTGGATCATTAAATATATCTTACTTTCTTTCCTGCTACCAGTAATTTAATTGAAATCGTGAATAAATATATAGTGTTACATTTCTTCATTTGAAACAAGTATATAAAGAAAATATTCAACAAATGTTAATCACCTTGTGACTTTATTGTTATAAAACTAGTTTTCGATATGGTTTAAATAGGTAAAACATATGTCTCTATTTCACCACAAAACTACTTTAAAATATACATTTACATTCACATGTCCAGAACTTTAAAGTGAAAATTTTGTGCCTAAACAGAAAAATATACCATTTAAAGGTTTTTACATAAAATATAAACACCTATTTAGAAGTAGTTTTCGAGTGAACAACACATATGCCATTGTAGTAGTATACTGCGATCTAATTGTTATAAGAGTAGTTTTACAGTTTTACAAATAATTAAAATATGAGTATTCAGCTTACTTTTCACCTGATATGAATAAAGCAAATTAAACAGTCTGTGTTGTATGTAATTTAAATTCTTTATGTTATTTTTCTTATGCTCAATTCATCGACAAAAGACAAATACATTCTTTGTGTATGCAAAACAACATTTCTAGCATGCTCATTTCTATTCTATATGTGAAAAAAACACAATAAATATTACATAAAAGCCCCCCAGTGGCACAGCGGTATGTCTGCGGACTTACAACGCTAGAAACCGGGTTTCGATACCCGTGGCGGGCAGAGCACAGATAGCCCTTGTGTAGCTTTGTGCATAATTGAAAACAAACAAACAATTACATAAAAATATTATATTGACATACAACTTCAATATTCCAACATACACGCTTTTTCATATCATATTCGCTTACGTAAGTAATGTGCATTTCAGTTGGAGGATATTTTACTCCAGGTGAATTAACTAGGGTTGTTGAAAATGGTGGTTAATTGCTTACTTAGATACCACTTGATAATCACTTATTGGTAAATAACTAAATTAGTATTTCGATTATCAACAAGAATGCTATGGTGTGGACGCCTTTTTCAAGTTGGCGAAGCATAATCGTTGTGTCGACTGCGACACAACAAACACGGTAGCGGTTGGAACACTATTTATATAAGCCGGCCTAATGAGCTCTGGGTTGAACGAAACGCGTCGTCGGCGATAGAAATAGGAACAATGTGTGTGTGGTTGGAATACTATTATTATACATTCTTCTCATTTTTGAAAGTCCCTTAGAATGCAATGTTAAAAATATATTAGGCCTAATACTAATCCATAATGACAAGTAATTTAATTATAATCACGCTTCGCCAGCTTGAAAAAGATGTTCACAACATAACAGTTGTTGCTGTAACAAAGATTCTGCAGAATAAAAACGGATAGCAATAAAAATTGCTTTTTTAATGGTCGCGTAATTAATGGCTTTCACATCTACTTAAATTAAATACATTTTTTACAATGTTCTGGCCAATTTTGAGATACATTGTCTTATTTAATCAAAAATACAGTTCAAACGAATTGAGGTAATTTGGCTAGATTGTTACAGAGGTAAGACAATGGTAAATCGTAGTATTGCAATTATTTGGGTCTGTAATATATTTCAAGCTAACAGGATACAAACTATAACTTTATATGAAAATGTATGCGATTATGATGTATAATGTGAAAACAAGATGTAAATAAAATACTGTAAAATATTGACCAATTTTTAATGCTTATCCTAATCCGAAAACTTTGACTTGGACCAAAAGTGTTGCTGAATATAAAAGTAAGGCCTTCATTTTAACATTACCGTTTGTTTCGGATATTTGCGAAAGATTACGCAGAGGCTACCTGAGCTAGCCATCCCCAATTTTGAACTGACAAACTAAAGGGAAGGTAGCTAGTCAACAGCACCCACTTCCAACTCTTGGGCTAGTGTAAGCGTTACTGTTATAATGCAGTTACCTGCCACAAAGTGCTGAGCATGTTTACTGAGGCAAAGGGATGCAAATCAGATCCTCAATTTTACTGTCAGGCACTCTTAATCATTGGACAACGCCAAGCCTTATAATATTACCGAATGTATAAAGCAGTTTTGTTTTTAGTTTTTTGTAGACACAATGCAGGCTAACACCCAGAATATCACAGATTAGATAATTTTTTAGATGGATAAGTGGAATTTCTAGAAACAAGAAATATACAAACAACACTACGATTCACAAGAAGCATCACATATTTTAGTTATACAAAACGTGACATAAAGAAACAAACTGAAGAGAAATCAGAAGCAAGATGCACAGTGAACAGTATTTAAGAAGACATGGGATTCGGATAGGAAGTGAATATCGACTATCGCAATATTTACGTACAGATACTGTATATATATATATATATATATACAGTATAGCTGTGTGAGTATGGAGATTCATTTCACGTTTTGTAGGCGCTTTTCCTTCACTGCTGTCCACATCACACTTGTCAAAACTAAATTGAACTGAATTCCAGACACAAATAAACTGACTGCCGGAATCAAATCTGACTCTGTTACAAGAAAATTAGAAACAAACACGTTGCTACTAGGCGCTGCCCGTAACCTTTGCCAACCATTTCCCCCGCACTTTGATCGCGCTAATCATATAAAAAGAAAATGGTTACCTACAAATCCAACCCTTATATGTTAGCGATGAGACAGAGATGGTCTAAGATTGGCAACAGATAATAGAGTGTAAAGTTTATACGAAAGTGTTTAATAACAAAATATCAAAACTTTAGCCAAAATTATAGAAATGTAGTAAAAAGGTACCACATAAGTTGATGAGGGGTAAAGCTCACGATCCAGGTACCAAAAGGTAACCATTTAAACTTCAGAAGAAAAGGTGTTAAAGATGCGAAACATATAATCGAATTGAAGTTTCAATCCTGGAATTTGCTGGTAATGACATTACTTTTGATAATACATTAAATTTGTGCCAGTAAAATTCCATAAATTTACCTTGTGAGGTCTAAAGAGGAAACTTGTATGTGATATGGGATTAATTAAAATTTTAATCAAAGACAAAATCCCTGATCTCAACAAAACTATCATTCGGATTTCTGTTGAGAGCAGGGATTTTTTTTAACTCTTAGATTTTTTATTATTAAATGAAATTTATGATATACCTTAACGGAGTTGAATTTTCTGACAGAAGAAACCTAACTTCTTAAACTGATCAAAATTTCACAGAAAAATGGAGGCATCTCCATCGAGTTGGTTTGGGGGTCAGACCCTTATTGGGGAACTCTGCTCCAGCAGCTCTCATATTAGATATAGTCTTTTAAGAGTTTAAGTTTTTTTTCTGCTCCCAAGCTAGTTGTTTGTGCCCCTATATCTACTCTTAACACACTGGAAATTTGATAAGCATATGAAGTTTTTTGTTATACCATAATGCAGTTGATTTTTATTTTTTGCAAAGGACAGAAAATATTAAAGGTAGTTAAAATTATCGTTAAAACCCAAGGCTTAAACTATTTAATATTTGATGAAATATTGTTTGTTTTTGAATTTCGCGCAAAGCTACACGAGGGTTATCTGCGCTAGCCGTCCCTAATTTATCAGTGCAAGACTAGAGGGAAGCCAGCTAGTCATCACCAACCCACCGCCAACTCTTAGGCTACTCTTTTACCAACGAATAGTGGGATTGACCGTCACATTATAATGCTCCCACGGCTGAAAGGGCGAGCATGTTTGGCGTTACGGGGATTCGAACCCGCGACCTATTTGATATAAATATCCTTTTTATTTTGTATTACACACTATGTCCAGTATTTATATTGTGATTGTCACATGATAACGCCCCCACGGCTTACTCTTATTTGACCGGATAGGTGGATCTGCCCGTCATTCTTATGGTTCACCGATGGCCCCAAAGTGAGGAGCGCATTTTTAAGGCAACAGTGCGCAAACCATGGATCATTGGATTCGCAACTTGGAGACGCTAACAACTAAACCACGTTCTACCATAACTCTTTGCAAATTTTATCACCTAACGATGTGCTCATTTGTTTTTGGGTATTCGCGAAGAGCTATTTAAGCTAGCCGTCTCATAAACCAGAAAACATATATCCACCGTTAACGCTTATCTAACTAAATAGTTGGATTTGACCGTCGCTTTTATATCGTACTTTCAGCCTGAAAGCGCTGAGCTCGATTTTTTAAATATTTTTGGGGATAATATGACGATAACAGTGGACCTGCTAATCCACAGTCCGCCACGTTAATCACTGGGCCACACTCAGGCCATCAGCTATCTATTCTTTTTTTTTACATGTCATAAATGATATTTGATGAAAATGATTAATAAAAACTCTAGGATTAAAACTTGACATTTTTTGATGAATTAGTGGGATTTTTCGTTAAGGTAAATCTTTACTAACTTTGACTTTTTTTATATATATACAAGTACCCAAACTGATCAATATACAAGAGGAAATTGAAATTAAAGTTAGTTAAAATTTTCTCCGAAAATTCTCTGACTAGACCTTTAAAGTTTCCTTAAGAAAATTATTTGTTTAATGCTCTATTACCGAGTTGATTTTCTAGCAAAAGAAAGTTACAATCTGGAAGTAATCAAAATTTTATGTAAAATGTGTGTATATATTTTTTAAAGGAAACTTGCTCTCTTAGTGATAGAAACAATGATTTTTTTTTACAAAAACAGTATGCATAAAGTCCTTACGCTTTTCCCACGTTATCATTTGATTAAGACACTAAATGTTTAATCATTTTGTGGTAAGTCAAGCTCTCTCATCTTACTCAGTTTGAACTTATGAACTAATATTATTCTTATTTTTCCAACGTAAAAAAAACATACCGGTCATAACTTTTTTCAACAAAACATTTTATTCCTTAATTAAACGAAACACATTTCAAATACACTGGACATTACAAAATATCATCTAAATATAATTAAACGAAACACATTTCAAATACACTGGACATTACAAAATATCATCTAAATATAATTAAACGAAACACATTTCAAATACACTGGACATTACAAAATATCATCTAAATATAATTAAACGAAACACATTTCAAATACACTGGACATTACAAAATATCATCCAAATATTTTTCATACTCTACAACAGAGATTGGAGGTCAGATAACATTTAGATACGATACAAGAAAAGAAAATTAATAAAATGAGGCAACTAAACATTACTGCTTGATGGATTGCTACTTCATAATTGGTGTGATTAAATACCCGTGCTATTAATTATCAATTTTCGATCTAGCACTCGTAAGTTAAAAAAACCCGTGAAATTTTCACGACTTTCAAAGCTTTCAATTGAAAATTTCTGTGTTCCCAATCTTTACAGGAATTTTCCTCTCTCAATTACCTACACAGGCTGAAAAATACGATTCCGTACTTGCACCAACAAACAGGAAGGGAATAGGAAAACGTAATATGTGTAAAGTTTATCAATGCGACGAAAATCTTCTTACCCGTTATTGAAATAAGAATGTGCAGGTAAATGATGTGGTTCTGACTGCCGAAATGACTGTTTATCTTCCTTGAAAATATATATATAGCACACAGTCATGCCAACTTCGAAATTCCAAAAATGGGTGGTACTCTTAATACAACCTATTTGTTCTTGTAAAAAAGAAAAGTAAAAAAAATCGCTACCTTTTTCCTCTGAGGAAATCACTAAGAGAAAAGGATAAATTCGCTGGAAATTCATTCACTGTTGATTTGGTTAATTGATGGTCTCTTAAGGAAAACAACTGCCTCTGATAAATCCACAACGGTAAAGATTTGTTTCTGGTGCAGAATTTTTTTTTTTATTATTATTATTATGCAAGCTTATATTTCACCAGCTCACTTGGGCGTTGTGTATTTATGCAACCAAAAGAGGAAGATACTTTGTACAATCATCTTCAGAAAAGAGCAATATTAACTACGAGTTGAAATTAATTGATTCATATAACAACGCAAAAAAAGCTTCATCTTCGCGAAGTCATCGTCTGATAAAACCATTACTCAGTACGTAAGAAACTAGTTCAAGTTAAAGCCACTAAATGGTGATCTAATTCGAACAGGCGACACCAGGGGCCAGTCTACTTTTCTTCTTGCAAATTTTTTCTTTCTTCTCCTATTTTAAGCCACTGTGTTCGGTTGGACTTCACACCTTCCAAAAGTGGCTCAAGCTTGTCCGAAATTTTAGCAAAAGCCTAAACATACAAGAGAGAAATGCGATAGATTTAAGAAATGGAATAACGTTATGGTCACAATTTCAAATATTCAAAATTCTATTAAGAAGCACATCAAAAATCAAAGTGAGTGACTCAAGACGCTTCCAAGTAACATTATTATGTTTTAGCTCTATTTATCATACAAGCTATAAGCAAATTAATACTCGGACAAGGTAAAACTTATTTCTTGTTAATAGAAACTTAGATCAACATCAAATATTAATTTGACCTTGAATAATGTCAGATAAAGTTTATGTTACCAAATGTATTAAGCTAGTCAAAATGTAATTGTTTTAGTAATAGCTATATACACAAGAATGAATACGCTACACTAAAGCGATTCTCAGTATAATAAATCAGCAAGTCACGTTATAACTAAAGCCGATAGAAAGTCGTGGTGGAATTGTAGGTATTAGAACCACATTTTACCATTGTTTGTTGTGTTTTGAAAGTAGTGCGATGCCACCAAAAATTGATCGCTTTCAAGAAAGGTATGTAACAGCACTTTACGATGCGAACTATTCATATACTCAGATCAGAATGATGTGTTTCATATAGGAGATTTAGGATTTCCATGACAAGAATATCCCATATACTTAATGATGTTGGAAAACAAAAGAACAGAGATCACCTTGCTTATCAGGCCTATCTAGAAAGAGATCTACAATAACCCCAAGCAGTTGGAGAATAAAACGGGTATTCAGGGTATTTCATAAGAAGACATACCGGACAAGTAAACGGATGCAGAGCCTATAGATCTCTTTGCAATCGGACTATTAGAACTGGTGATAGGAAGTCGTCATCTTCCTGCACTAGATAGATTATAAAAAGCAACGGGGAGGAGGAGTGTGATTTGGACATGACAGTTTTGCGACTGAGCCTTTTTTCATTCTACACAGTCATCAATTATATCATGACTGGACGTGTGGACATGGAGTAGAACGACTTGATGAGACTCCAAAATCGCTTGAATATAACGTACTCAGCCTCCGTATAAATAACAAGCATTAGTTTTTCATAATAATTAAGGATCTGAAAGGAACTAAAATTCTTAAAAGTTTAAAAAAATCATTGAATTTTATCCTTGCTTCTTACTCTTAACTTTGTAAGTTTTATTGCTATTAATATTTTTATAAATTTAGTTTTAAAGTAAATTCTAAAATAAACGACTCGCAAATTTTAGAATATAATCTACAACTGTTAAAGTTCTGCTTACACTATACTACTCTCAAGCATAAAATACATTCAAAGCATTTTCGTTAGAAAAAAAAATTATATATATATACGTTGAAATTCACGCTAAATTCGAGGGCTATCTGCGCTAGCCGTCTCTAAATTTGAAATGCCAGACTAGAAGCAGTTAGTCAATACCACCCACCGCCAACTCTTGAGGCACACTTGTCAGATTGAAGAGTGGGATTTGACCGACACTCTTATAACGCTCACATACGGGCACAACGTGCGCAGTAACTGGACGCAAACAGTGGAAACTCATATCCAAGTCTGGTACGCTAACCACAAGGTCTCGCTCGGCCGTTTTAGATGCGATATTTAAACGGTATTCAATTTAACAACGAACAATTTTTTTAAACAGCACAATAAAACAACGTTTCTCTACGTTCACAAGAAAAAAAAATAGTTTTTGATATAATAAATGATTGACTCAAACAGCTAAACTGTTGGTGTTTTTATGCAATAAAACATAACCGCTGTATGGATTAAAGAAATTACGTTTTCCAATTTACATGTATAAACATTTACAAACCAGTTTCGGCTGTCAGTTAATGCACTTTAATCAGAGGATGTCATTGAATTAAAGAAGTTGTACACAAGTTCCTGTGCACTAATTCAGCTGCATGCACATAAAGGAAGCGCCTTTATTATTATTATTGTAATTCATCAACATCTACGAAGATTTTCCAAATTTAGGAAAAGTAAAATCGTCAAGAGATAGTTGACATTTCAAATTACACCAAAGTTATTAATAGTACGCAATTTCCCAAGGCGCATTTGGTAAGACAGAAGTAATTAAAAACTAATTAATGTTGTGTTAATTATCCACCTTCGTTTCTTACCTACGCAAAAGTGTACGAGCCAGTGTGTTAAACCGTGTTTGTTTTATTTTACTATTGTTTTAAATAAGTAAAGAAGTAATTAAAAAACTAATTAATGTTGTGTTAATTATCCACCTTCGTTTCTTACCTACGCAAAAGTGTACGAGCCAATGTGTTAAACCGTGTTTGTTTTATTTTACTATTGTTATTGTTATTTGTTATTAAGCACAAAGCTACACAAAGAGCTATCTGTACTCTGCCCACCACGGGTATCGAAACCCGGTTTCTAGCAGTATAAGACAGAGAAACTTTATTTCATTCCTATTCCACCAATTTTATCAGAATTTTTGTTTGAGCGCAAAGCTAAAAAAATTAGCTATATATTTCTGTCCGCTACGGGGATCAAACCCCACACTTTAGCGTTATGATCCCTCAAGCTTACCGCCGAGTCACTGGGAGCCATTTTATTGTAGACTGCTACCAAAAATTATCAGCATGCTTTGGTGTCTTTATTATAACTTAATGACAAAAGCATCAGCAGGTATAAATCACAGAGTTATTAAATAACTACATACTCCTAGAGAGCACAAAAGTTTTGGATAGTCAAGTTTGAATCATATCTACGTCGCCCGCTGTGCGCTATCATGTTAACATGGCTGCGGTAACTAGGTGAATTGGATAACTGTAACAGAGATTCATTTCCAAAGCCAGTGGCACAGCGGTACGTCTGCGGACTTATAACGCTAGAAACCTGATTTCGATACCCGTGGTGGGCAGAGCATAGTTAGCCATTTGTGTAGCTTTGTGCTTAACTACAAACAAACAAACAAATATTTCGCATGTTGTGACTTTAAAAAATTATTAGACAACCAAACATAACGCACACAGACATAGGCCTAAATGGGTGCTACATTGTGTGTTATGACATCAATTATGGAAATACACATCAGAATAGAATAATTAATCTCAGCTTACCTCATTTTATGTTAATTTTTCAGTGCTAAATAGATAAACCGAATGAAAGAATTATGTACAATAATGAATTTGACGATCTCGTATATACATAACCATCTGATGAATTATGCAGTGATAAATGAAAGAAGAGACTTGTTCGTATTACTTCAATCATGCACAGACCAAACAAGTCAGTTAAAAAGAGGAAATTGTACAGATAATCGGCAGCTATAAACCGTTAAATATTAACTATGAGAAGAAGGAAACTACAGTGATATGGTCATGTGGTGAGAAAACCATGAACCCTTGCGAATACTATTCCTGCAAGGGTACTGGAAAAGAAGCGAAAAATAGGAAGAACAAAAACAAACTCGATGGCCATCATAAATAAATGGTTTGGTTTGTTTTGAATATCGTGCAAAGCTACACGAGAGCTATCTGCGCTATCAATAGAGGGAAGGCAGCTAGTCATCACCGCCCACCGCCAACTTTTCGGCTACTCTTTTATCAACGAATAGTGGGATTGACCGTCACGTTATAACGCTCCCACGGCTGAAAGGGCGAGCATGTTTGGTGTACTTTGCGATCAGAACTTTCGCCTCCCTGATAATTGTTTCTTTGAGCTCTTTATCAGGATTTAGTGTTGTATTCCTGCCCGAGCTTCAAAATGCTCATCAAACACATTAGACTGAAAAAAGGTTGAGGGCGACTTGAGAACAATCGAACGATTATGAGAATTTTATTTGGATTTATTGTTAATGCCGGGCGTCGAAACTAACATGACGTCTTTCAAATATTAGGAAACGAAATCCATAAATGACCTAGTTGATTGTGCCGTAGTTTCATTAGATTTCGTTGCTAGATATGTGACCGATCTATGGAAGATCCTCTTCGCTTTTGAGACTGTATTTTCAATGAAACATGGCAAAACAAATGAGGACTAACTTGACATATTGTGTGACACTTTTTTTCTCTCTTCATGTTTCATATTTTCTGCGAACGGTGTGAAACAAGTGGTGGCACATGCCTTGTCATCAGCACTTTAGCCTAAGAATCTTTTGTCATATCTTTCTGCTTAAGTTTCGTAATTTCGTAGAGCGTAATCTTTAAGAGATTAGTCAAAATGTGTGAGATAGTAACTAGCTTAACATTAGCCTTAGAACCTTCGATAGTATACCAGAACTTTCTGTCGAGTTTCATGATTTCTGATAAGTGTCCTTTTCCGTGACTTCGCGGCAAGTTTGAGGATTTACAACACTAAAATTCGTGTTTTATAACTGCGAAGGCCACAGCAAAGACAGTCCATTGTGCAACTTTGGGCTTAAAACAAACAAACAGTGACGTATCCGACATATGCAGTAAAAGAAAACGGAAATCAATTTAGCGTAGGCCTCTCAACTCTCAAACTCGTGTTGTATTTCTGTCACAGTTCAAATTTCCCCAGTGCCATATTGATAATATAAATTTATATATGAAAATTAAGACTAATCCTTTGTCAGTTGTAACCGCTATTATCATTTCTTCGTTTGTAAACAATGAGAACAATCTTATGTTTACAAGAACTGGTATTTATTCAGTTCATCATATACTGCCTTGTGAGAATCAAGTTCCTGGTAAAAAAAAAAAAAACTATCAAGAAAAAATGTGGAAAATATTTATCAAAACAACACCTTTCTAATTAAACATCTACTAAACATGGAAGGTATATATCAGCCATATCCTTCTAAACATAAAATGTTTGTTTGTTTTTGGAATTTCGCGCAAAGCTACACGAGGGCTATCTGCGCTAGCCGTCCCTAATTTAGCAGTGTAAGCAGTG